TCCTGCCCAACACTCCTGCAGGTGGTGACAGAGAGTGAGAGGGCAAAGAGTGGAATGAATGCTGGAGCTAGTAGGCTTAACTAGATCTGTGCTGTTGCCAGGTAAGAGGAACTGGAAGCTATAGATTACTAGGTAGAAACTGGACACTGGAACAGCTGGGTGCAGAAACAAAAGACAGAAGTGAGGCCTGAGAAGCAAACCAAAGATCAGCATCAACCAGGCAGCATGATGAGTCTAAGAAGCAAGTGGGGGTCAGTAACAGTTGTCAAAACGATAACTGAACCATAGAGATGTAGCAAAGTCCAAAGAGGAAATTGGGACATACACAGGTCAGGTCACAGATAAGCAAGGACAAGCTGAAAACCATTCAACAACTTCTCTCTGTTGAGCATCAGTTTATATGGGACACTGAATGGCAAACACTGAATGTGAGGTACACAATGTAAACCTGGTCAGGCTGACAGTTGGTGGTGGCTATTGGATAGTGGTCTACTCTTCTAATAGTAAGTGGAGGACTCCTCAGTCAGAACACACAACAGATGACCTGAACAACACTGTCTAATGGGATACAGATGGACCGTGAGCTTTTCAGATTCACAGAAGATTTGAAAGTCCTTGCAAGTGAGCAACTCCCAACCAATAAAGAAGCCAGTGCTACAGTGGGCCACTAAGTGATGACATTGTGGGATTTCAAACCCGCTATCTGTACACACAGTAAGCTGAGATGTATTTCTGTAGGATCCCAGCAGAGCAACGACTGCTAGAAGGTGCCTACAAGCTGTGACAAGAGAAAGAGCGTAATAAATAGCTTCTATCAGCTTCTGTGCACAGGTTCTGTTAGATGGGAAAGTGAAAAGAATACATAAGATCAAAAATTCCCTTTGCTCAGTAGTATCTTCTCATTAGATGTTCAATACATTCAAGCTCCTACCACAGGCTAATACATGTTAGGTGGGCAAGGCAGACAGCTACCTCCAAGTAATTCCAGCCCCCAGTACATTCTAGTAGTGGACTTCTAGGACCACCAATTGATGAAACAGGAGCCCTATTGAGCTTCAGCTTTCTTCCCCTGGCAGCATGCCTGACAAGCATGCACTGCACCTTTCTCTGTAAATATACAAATCCTAGGCAGCAGGTCTCAGAGGACAAGACTCTCTTCTCACATGAAGTCCTCCCCGGGTCAAAGCTTTGGAGTCAAACACTAGGATCCCTCACATACCCTCTCCAGGCAAAGACTGTGAGAGAAGGACAGGAAACCCTCAAACTGACATTTTTTTCAAGCAAAGCCTGGGAGGGAAGGAATCTTCTAGAAGGTGTTTTCTAAATATGTATCCCCTTCCCTAGACCACATCATTGGCATAAACCTTTCACTGGTTGGCCAAGGGGAAATATAGCAGTAGCAGGTATAATGCATACATAGTAGATACTAAGTGCAGACTTAGATTCTGGACATTAAAAGGAAAAATTAAAAAATGGCTTATTTTTCTTGCCCAACACAACCAGAAAATCTAGCATCTCTAAAACAGCAGTGATGTTGTAAAGCCTCACGATAGAGTACGCATAACTAAAAGGAATACATCCAAATGGGAAAATAGTACAGAACTAAAAAGGCTGTCTAGATTTGTGTGTGCATTTGTATGGAAGTTATACCTGATAATACAATCCCCTCTAACTGAGCGTGGAACAAAACAGCAAAAGCAAAGAGGACAAAAGCAAAATATTTTAAAATTATTTATTATTTACCTCAACATTAAAGTCTGAGTCACCTGCTCTATGTGGGTTATTCTGCAAAGGGTTGAGGTTTTGGCTTAGAGCTATAAAAGCGACTTTTGCAGATAGCAGAGAGGGGTTGATCAGACAATAACCAGGCTTGGTGCTTTCTGTTTGTTTGTTTGTTTGTTTGTTTGTTTTTTTAACAAACTTTATTGAAATGTCACACAGTGACATTTCATAAAATTCTATTACCTGGGATGTGAAGACTGTGCTGAACTAGAAAAAAGAAGTGCACACCGCCCACGCACTACCACAATACAATGGTGGGAACTTGCCACATTGTCTTTCGGTGGGGGTGCGGAGGGACTGGCACCTGGTAAGAATGAACTCTTAAGAAATACCACTTTGACCACAAAATATGTGTGAGGTACCCAGGGCTTTTTTCTCAGAGAATAGGTGCAAGTATTCCCCCCTTCCAAATCACCCATTGTCTTTGCCCCCTACCCACCTCCAAGAATAAGTATCATTTTGTGGTGCTAAGTCATTTGTATAGAATTTGTTCATGATAACAAGAAAAGCAGTAAAACAGATCTCCTGCAACCAGCAACAATAGACCATCCCAGCATAAATAGATCCACCCAGAAATTATAGACCTTCACCCATCAACAATAGACCCCCTGCAACAAAAAATCCCCCAGCAACAATAGATCCACCCTAGCAAAAACAGACCCCTAACCAACAACAATAGATTTCTCAGCAGTCAGCATCAACAAACCCTCCATCAACCAGAAACAATAGACCTCTCCCTCAACAGTCGATTCCTCCCAGCAACATAAGACCCCCCAACATCAATAGATTCCCCATTCCTCCACCCAGCAACAATACACCCTCTAGCACACCACAGCACCCATCACCATTACATACATTCAGTGCTGGAGGTGCTGGAACTGCAATTCCATGTGTTCCCACTGAAAATAAAACTCTGGATGTACTGTTTTTACCCTCTTCACCTGCAATCTTCCATTCCTGGTAAAATAGTTTTTTACATGTATATGTTAAAGTGGTTGTAAAGCCTTACATAGTTTCACTTATTGCATTCCTTGCCTTAAGGTAAAAAAAATTCAGGTTAAAGTATTACCCCCTCACTCTCCATATATTCATCTGAGAAAGATCAATAGAGCCAGTGCAATGACCATCTGCATCTCTCCTTTTCTCCCCGCTATCACAGGCTTGGCTGACAATAGCAGAAGCCATTGGTTCCCACTGCTGTCAGTCAAATCATGTGATCAGGGTGAGTCTGAGCCTTGCTCGATGTGTCAATGGACACCGGGGCTCAGGATTGATCACACAGGTGTGCCATGATAGAAATCACCTTCCAAGCATAAACCTGTTTGTTATTTTTTTTTTTTTTAAATAAAATTGTAGACTTTATAATCACTTATTTTAAGTTTATTGTTACAAGTTTTTCTTGTTACTATAAACTTAATTTATCTAGTGATCCATGCTATTTAAATTCTTGAGTGATACATTGTCTGGCTGAAGTCTAGTTGGTGTGGTTTCAGTAGCAATATAAATGCATTGTTAGAATGCAGTGAGACATGAATCAAAAAAGGTTATGTGCTACAGTGTTCAGCAGTATTGGATCTAATCCAAGCACTTTTAAATGAATCATTGTTTTTATTGCAGAGGATTTATATACTCAATTGTCACAGTTAACTGATCCATTGCATGCCATCAACTCAGCATAACATTATCATGCTCTTTAATGATGTTTAAGCTCAGAAATATCTCATTTTAATGCAATAAATAGTACAATAAATAAAAGTCATCCTTTATTAATGTGTGGGTGTTCCAGAGGTTGATTCTGATGAAATACAAACATTTTATTTAATGGTTTATATTTCACCTTGTGAACATGTTACATGTTATGCCTGTACTTAAGGTTTAACATATAACATGTTTAGCAGCCTCTCACCTCTGCACCCCTGTTCCCCCCATGACAGTGGGCGGGGATCTTCTCTTCACACCCGCTGGCACATTTTAAAAACAGTACACCTATGTGGGGCTCCACTCACACAGCCATGTCATTTATTCACAAGAATCTGTAAATGAAAAAGCTACAAGTAATGTCTGACACCGTGGCAGACAGACTTATAGTTTGAATGGGTTGCAAGTGTATGATTAGCACGCTTGTAGTCCATTCACACTTCCTCCAACTTGCAAGCTGACAGCTAATACATAGGTAGGAGCTGAAAGATGGAGAGAGACTCTGAGATTGCACCCTCAATCTGCTGATTGTGGGTGCAATACTCTGCAGGCTATGTTTTAAAAAAAAATAATAGATGTTCTGTCTCTCCAATCTAAGCATTGAAAGTGTGATCTCTGTAACTTACAGTTGTGATGAGATAGCGATAACTCCATTCTTAGTTGAATAACACAGTCAGTGACTCAATTGGATGGTATCTTGTAGATCTTGTGAAGTTTATTCCATAAACTGAGAGAATCTTACAACAATGAACATCTGATAGGTCAAAAGATCATAATGTGACCTGCTTCACGACATGAGGCTAGAAGCTGCAATGCATTTCTGGGAAAAAGGGTGGGCTATCTATACAGCATTAACTAAACCAAAGGAAAGGGAGGAGCAGAGTCAAAATACAGAGAACACTTAAAGGCATATGACAGCCATGTGAAAAATGACAATAGATACACATCTTTTAACCAGCAAAAAATATGTATGTATTATTTTTTTAGTAAAAGGTGAACCTATCTTTTAACCATTTGCCTACCGGGCACTTTTACCTCCTTCCTGCCCAGGCCAATTTTCAGCTTTCAGTGCTGTTGCAATTTGTATGACAATTGCATGGTCATGCAATACTGTACCTAAACAAAATTTTTATCATTTTTTTGAGACAGATAGAGATTTCTTTTGGTGGTATTTAATCACCACTGGATTTGTATTTTTGTGCTAAACAAACTAAAAAAGATTGAAAAGTTTTGAAAAAAAAAAGTTTTTTCTTAGTTTCTGTTATTTTGTACATAAGTAATTTTTCTCCTTCGCTGATGTGCGCTAATGAGGCTGCAGTGATGGGCACTGATAGGCTGCACTGATGGACACTGATGAGAAGGCACTGATAGGTGGCACTGGTGGGCCTTAACAGGCATCACTTGTGGGAATTGACAGACATCCCTGATGGGCACTGAAAGGCAGCATTCATATATGGCATTGATAGGTGGCACTGCTGGTCACTGATAGGAGGCACTGATAGGTGGCACTGACAGGCAGCACTGACTGACACTGATAGGTGGCACTGCTTGGCAGCACTGATAGGCAACACTGACTGGCACTGATAGGCGACACTGACTTGCACTGATAGTTGGCACTGACAGGCAGCTCTGATGGGCACTGATATGTGGCATTGATGTGCACTGGTAGGCACTGATATGTGGCATTGATGTGCACTGATGGGCACTGGTATGTAGCATTGATGGGCAATTACAGGTGGCATTGATGGGCACTGACTGGTGGCACTGATGAGTCTACACTGATCATCAGGGCACTGATCATTAGTGCCCTGATGATCAGTATAAATGTCCCCTCTGAGGAATGCCGATTTCCGGCTCTCCTCAACTCACGCGCTGTCAGAGTGAGGAGAGGACTGCCGATAACCAGCATTTCCTATTTACATGTGATCATCTGTGATTGGAAACAGCTGATCACTTGACAGAGCCAACATAATCGGCTCATCATCATCGGCGGCCCCCAGGGGCGTGCATGTGCAGTTAGAGTGTTAGGATGTAAATGGGAGGCAGTTAAAGGATAAGTTCACCTTTTTTTAAAAAAATTATAAATGTGCAAATTATATGCTGGGGAAAAAAATGTGCATGAATTATTTTTTTTCACAGGAGCCTGAAGAGCATTGCCCCTATGATCTATGGATCATGGGTGCAATGTCAGATCCCTGCACACACTAACTGCAACTCTGTTGCCCATACCTCTGTATGGGCTTTTTTTACAGAGATTTAGACAGTGTGAATGGACTACGAGCATGATTATCAGCACGCTCACGGTCCATTGAGAACTACAAGCAATCTGCCGCAGTGGCAGATGGGACTTGTAGTTTTCTCATTCAGAGGAATGACATTAATGTAAGAGTGGAGCCCAGCACAGCCTGTTTTCAAAATGTGACAGCAGGTGTAGAGAGAGCAGGGGCGGACTGACCATTTGAAAACTTGGGCACTGCCCGAGGGCCCGGGGTCAGTAGGGGGCCCAATGAGATGCCCCTGGTACCTTTTTCATAGGCTTTTTTGAGTTTGGGCAAGGACACAGGGGCCCCAAGATCCCCTATTGCCCGGGGGGCCCATGAGTTGTCAGTCTACCCCTGAGAGAGAGCCTGCCTGTTGTCACAAGGGATCGAAGTCCAGGGGGCATATCTGGACAAGTTACTTGTTACACCCTAAATATGGGTGTAAGGTGTAACATGTTCCAAAAGGTGAATTTAGCCTTTAAGAGATGTTTATTTTAAGGGTGTTTTATTTAAGGCTGGAAGGGTATATGGTGACTACATATGCACTTAAAATAATATAAATACTTTTATTGCATCCAAAATCGAATTGTTTAGTCAGTGGCTTATTTATGATATCCAAGAGAACAATCCATGCTTCTCCAAACCAGGACAAATCATCACTAAAATGCTGACAAAATCCCATCAAAATAATATCATCATTATCATGTGCATGTGATCAGGTCTGAACAGGAACCATAGAGAACAATAGATTTTTTTAAGTTTGAGCATTTTTGGAACTTCAAACTACAAATCACTTGTGTGAATGCAGCCTAAGAATGGTGACCACTGGACACAAAAACAGGTTGCCAGAATGAAAACAGGGATAGTGACCACCTCTGGACAAAGAGAACAGTCACCAGACTGGCCACGAGTACAGTGACCACAACTGGACCCATGCAATGACCTGCCAAGCGGTGACTGGAAGTAAACTATAATTTACATTGATAAAGGCTATATGTAATATGTGATATATAGATAAAACAAAGGTCTTTAGGCTCCATGCACACTGGGCGTTTTAATAACGCTGGTAATGTTAGCTGTGTATAGTCACATTAAATACTTGAGTTTTTCAACTTTTTTTTAGCATTTTTGCATTAGTGTTTAGTGGTGTTTTGCTGTGGTTTTTCGCGTTTGTAGTTTTTAGTGGTTTTTTAGCATTTTTTGGGTCCACAATTGCCATTTTCCCTCGATTTACCGTGTTTTACCACATTTTGCAGCGTTATTCAGCGTTGGAGCATTTTTACAGCTAAAAAACTCCTCTAGAAACTGACTAGTCCTGCCAGAAAACATTGATTACAGTCTATGTGTACATGAACACATAGGATAGCATGCTGGGGGGTTTACTGGCTGTAAAAAAAACATCAAAAGCCAAAAACAGCAGCTGTAAAAAAAATGTCCAGTGTGCATGAGGACTGATAAATTTCTATTCTGTATTTCTCTTTGGTTCTTCTGTTTTTGGGCCTTTTTACACCTATTCAAGTTGGCTTGCAAAGTTTGTTAACATATATTGCGGAACCTGCGACTGTTCATTTCCCCAACCACATCCACGCAAAAAAAAAAAGATGCTTGTCCCTTTTTCCCATTGCATTGCAACATAATGCATGTGTTTTCACATTATTAGTGATAAGTCAAAAGGTAAGGTGCATTATTTACTGTATGGATGTACAACGGGGGCCCATTAGAAGTGATTGGGATTATCCCCAAAACACACACACAACTCATGTGTCCAATATATATTAATGAATAATACAAAGTACAGGTATAGCTTTCAAGCTGGCCTAATTACACTATCTGTCGGAATTTAATATTTAAAATTACATCTGACTGGTCAGGAATAGACTTTATTTCATGGCACCTTAGGGTTAGTGGCTCAATTTTTAGTTCAGTAATGGAAAAACAACTCCTCCTCCACCATCACTATTCAGCACTATCTAAATTCAGAATATGACACCCCTCACACTTCTGGTGAACTCTCTAAAAAATTGAGTTTTTCTTTAAAGTAATGAGATTCCTCAGAGGCAAACAAACCTTTGACAGCATGTTACAACCTTAAAATTATATCATTAACATGCTTTTAACCTCTGTCACTTGAAGATGCACAGCTGTTGTACGCCTTCTGAAAGTAAATGCAAATTGGGTAGGACCATGTCCTGCACACTCTGATTACAAATAAAACTAGTAGGACACTAACTGAAATCATAAAACAAATACACTGCTAAAATCTTGTTTTAACAATTTTCATTTAAGGTTTAATTGTTATATGGGATGTTTAATCACATTAATGATCTGTAGGCCAAAAGAGAAGTATAGCAGTTCCATTATTTAGGCAAGTGCAAAATTATCATCAACCTACTAATTTATTTTCAGGCACAGCTTGAAATATGAAAAATAGCATGAATATTCAGCATAGTCTTCTAAGTTGAAATGAAGGAACGATGGGTAGTCAGCAAGCTAGCTCAACTGTGAAACCAACAAGAGAAAAACCTAACAGATAAGTGACATTTACTGACATTAATTAACTGCTGAAATTAAACTTGATATTTTAATCATGATCTGTTTACGCTGAGTTCCAAGAAACAAATGAGGGTATTTAAGTTGCAATCTTGGTTACTCTTCCAATAACATGAAATGTGAATGATGTTATTTTTGTTTGATGGAGCCGAAGTTAATTAACATGGTGTGAAAGGGTAAGATTGGATATGAAATATAATGATCCCTGGATTGAGATTTGCTTGCTTTTTATTTTTTTTTAACAAGTGTATGAAGGCATTTGATTTAAAGAGTTGTCATCTTTCATTTCTTCAGTAAGCTTTATGATTTTACATGTTAAAGGAAACCTGTGCTAAGGAAAATAATGTAGGCTTTTTTTGACAATTTTTCTTTCTGAAACTGTTACTTGCCTGTTTGACTTAAAGATCATTTGGCATCTGTGATTTCTGAGTCTCTGACTTGGAATAGGTAGGCAAACTAAAAGCTCTGAGTTTTCCCTGCGTTCACTGGCTATATACAGTATCTCACAGAAGTGAGTACACCCCTCACATTTTTGTAAATATTTTTATTATATCTTTTCATGTGACAACACTGAAGAAATGACACTTTGCTACAATGTAAAGTAGTGAGTGTACAGCTTGTATAACATGTAAATTTGCTGTCCCCTCAAAATAAATCAACACACGGCCATTAATGTCTAAACCGCTGGCAACAAAAGTGAGTACACCCCTAAGTGAAAATGTCCAAATTGGGCCCAAATTAGCCATTTTCCCTCCCCTGTGTCATGTGACTCATTAATGTTACAAGGTCTCAGGTGTGAATGGGGAGCAGGTGTGTTACATTTGGTGTTATCGCTCTCACTCTCTCATACTGGTCACTGAAAGTTCAACATGGCGCCTCATGGCAAAGAACTCTCTGAGGATCTGAAAAAAAAGAAATGTTGCTCTACATAAAGATGGCCTAAGCTATAAGAAGATTGCCAAGACCCTGAAAACTGAGCTGCAGGACAGCGGTCAAGATCAAAGAAGCTGAGGGCACTTGCTCAGCGTCATATCGCGAGATTGTCTTTGGGAAATAGACGTATGAGTGCTGCCAGCATTGTTGCAGAGGTGGAAGGGGTGGGGGGTCAACCTGTCAGTGCTTGGACAATACGCTGTACACTGCATCAAATTGGTCTGCATGGCTGTCATCCCAGAAGGAAGCCTCTTCTAAAGATGATGCACAAGAAAGACCGCAAACAGTTTGCTGAAGACAAGCAGACTAAAGATATGTATTACTGGAACCATGTCCTGTGCTCTGATGAGACCAAGATAAACTTATTTGGTTCAGATGGTGTCAAGCGTGTGTGGTGGCAACCAGCTGAGGAGTACAAAGATGAGTATATCTTGCCTACAGTCAAGCATGGTGGTGAGAGTGTCATGGGCTGGGGCTGCATGAGTGCTGCTGGCACTGGGAAGCTACAGTTCATTGAGGGAACCATGAATGCCAACATGTACTGTGACATACTGAAGCAGAGCATGATCCCCTCCCTTTGGAGACTGGGCCGCAGGGCAGTATTCCAACATGATAACGATCCCAAAAGACAACTCCAAGATGACCACTGCTTTGCTAAAGAAGCTAAAGGTGATGGACTGGCCAAGCATGTCTCCAGACCTAAACCCTATTGAGCGTCTATGGGGCATCCTCAAATGGAAGGTGGAAGAGAGCAAGGTCTCTAACATGCATCAGCTCCGTGATGTCATCATGGAGGAGTGGAAGAAGACTCCAGTGGCGACCTGTGAAGCTCTGGTGAACTCCATGCCCCAGAGGGTTAAGGCAGTGTGTTGGAAAATAATGGTGGCCACACAAAATATTCACACTTTGGGCCCAATTTGGCAATTTTCACTTAGGGATGTACTCACTTTTGTTGCCAGTGGTTTAGACATTAATGGCTGTGTGTTGAGTTATTTTGAGAGGAGAGCACATTTACACTCTTATACAAGCTGTCCACTCACTTATACAAGCTGGACACTTTTGTAGCAAAGTGTCATTTCTTCAGTGTTATCACATGAAAAGATATATAAAATATTTACAAAAATGTGAGGGGTGTACTCACTTCTGTGAGATACTGTACTTGTTCTGGGTAAGTGAGATGAAAAGTATCAGAGTCAAAGAAAGCCACGAAGATAGATTCTTCTAAAATAGTTAAAAAGTGGCAAACCCACA